ATCACTTCTCTATCCGTTCTATCGGAGAACAAAGGCAAATCAAGTGGATTGTGTTTAAAGATGTTGTTATAGTTCCTTGTGAGAAACATATTACCAGAAACTTGTTGTGGGCTACGATTCTGCCGATGTGTCTGTCTTGTACAAGCGGAAAGACCAAGCCTGTGTACCCGTGAAGGAGCATGAACTTGTCTCCGCAACGGTGTTCTCACTTCTGGGTAACGGTAATTTCCTGGCGACATAGCTCTTGACGAGTGTGAGAATCTGGAGCTTTCTTCACAAGGGCTTAAAGCGTCGGGTTTGTGGTAACTGTTCATGCCATCAATTTGGTCTGAAACAGAGAGGACCATAATTGACTTTTCATGAAAAAACTCGGGAGGAAGCACAATTTTCATATAAAACTTACCGGCGTTTCCAATCCTGGATTTGTGTGACTCCCGACGCTTCCGATGACGATGACCGACCCGAGAAATTTGGGTAAACCCGACCCGACGCGGGTGGTTTTGCTTGGATTAGGTTAAAGTCAAACTTGTTGACTTTTATATTACCCTCTGGCCAAAAGAGAAGGGTTTTTCCTTCTCGTTAAACCCTTTTACTCTCTCTGGGCTTCGCTTCGCTTCGCTTCTCAGGTGAATATATCTACACTCGTTCGTACTGAACTCGAGATCATTTGGTTGTTTGGAACAGGAAAGTAAGAAAGATGCGGATGCTATTTAGACCAGGTAATCTGTTTATTGGCATTTTTCAGTTTCTGAAAATTGGTGTAAATTCTGTTAGATTTTTTGAGCTGAATTCTGGTGATTTCGTTATAGAGTTGTGTTTTAGGGATTGATGAATCTCTTTGAAAGTGTTCCATCGTGGGATCGAATTGTTTGTTTCTGATTTGATTTTATGTTTCTATCTCACCTTTACGCAGCTGGAATTGTCATTCACGCCGGTACAAAACCTTCACTTGTTTCCGCTCTTTGCAAGCATCTATCATCTTTGTCTGATAATGGCGAAAATCGTGAGAATCTGAAAACATTTGAGGGTAACAGACAAGTTATTAATGAGATTTGCAATGTTTTGGAGAGTGGTCCATGGGGACCTTCAGCTGAGAATTCTCTGTCAGCTTTAAACCTACACCCACAACCAGAATTAGTCATTGGTGTGTTACGGAGGCTGAAAGATGTTAATAGAGCAATTGATTATTTCCGTTGGTATGAGAGAAGAACCGAGCTGGCTCATTGTCCAGAATCATACAACTCGTTGCTTTTGGTGATGGCTCGTTGCAGAAATTTCGATGCTTTGGAACAGATTCTTGGAGAAATGAGTGTTGCAGGATTTGGCCCTTCTGTTAACACTTGTATTGAGATGGTTCAAAGCTGCGTTAAGGCGAATAAGCTCAGGGAAGGTTTTGATGTCGTGCAGATGATGAGGAAGTTCAAGTTCCGACCTGCTTTTTCGGCTTACACAACTCTTATCGGTGCTTTCTCAGCGGTTAATCATTCTGATATGATGTTGAATCTCTTTCAGCAAATGCAGGAGTTAGGATATGAGCCGACCGTTCATCTGTTTACGACATTGATTCGGGGATTTGCCAAAGAAGGTCGAGTTGATTCTGCTTTATCTTTGCTTGATGAGATGAAGAGCAGCTCTCTTGATGCCGACATTGTTCTTTATAATGTATGTATAGATTGCTTCGGTAAAGTAGGCAAAGTTGATATGGCATGGAAATTTTTTCATGAGATTGAAGCGAACGGTTTGAAGCCTGATGAAGTCACTTATACTAGCATGATAGGAGTTCTGTGCAAGGCAAACAGATTGGATGAAGCTGTAGAGATGTTTGAGCATTTAGAAAATAATAGACGGGTCCCTTGCACTTATGCTTACAACACGATGATTATGGGTTATGGTTCAGCTGGAAAATTTGAAGAAGCATACAGTCTCCTAGAGAGACAAAGGGCAAAGGGATCTATACCGAGTGTGATCGCATATAATTGCATTCTTACATCCTTAAGGAGAATGGGAAAAGTGGACGAAGCTTTGAGACTATTTGAGGAGATGAAAAAAGATGCTGCTCCAAATCTTTCAACGTATAATATTCTCATTGACATGCTGTGTCGAGCTGGTAAACTTGACTGTGCTTTTGAGCTACGTGATTCTATGCAGAAGGCTGGCCTGTTTCCTAATGTTAGGACGGTAAACATTATGGTTGATCGGCTCTGTAAAGCCCAAAAACTTGATGAAGCTTGTGCTATATTTGAGGAGATGGATTACAAGGTTTGTACCCCAGATGAGATTACATTTTGCTCCCTCATAGATGGTTTAGGAAAGGTTGGAAGAGTTGATGACGCTTATAAAATTTACGAGATGATGTTGGATTCTGATTGTCGCACTAACTCTGTAGTTTACACATGCCTCATAAGGAACTTCTTCAACCACGGTAGAAAAGAAGATGGGCACAAGATATACAAGGAGATGATCAATCAAAATTGCTCTCCTGATTTGCAGCTTCTTAATACGTACATGGATTGTATGTTCAAGGCTGGAGAACCAGAAAAGGGAAGGGGAATGTTTGAAGAAATAAAAGCACGCCGGTTTGTCCCAGATGCTCGAAGCTACTCGATTTTAATTCATGGACTAATAAAAGCAGGATTTGCGAATGAAACTCATGAGCTGTTTTATTCCATGAAAGAGCAAGGCTGTGTCTTGGACACACGTGCCTACAATATTGTGATTGACGGTTTCTGCAAGTGCGGAAAAGTTAACAAAGCTTATCAGTTGCTGGAGGAAATGAAGACAAAAGGCTTTGAACCAACTGTTGTTACGTATGGTTCGGTCATTGACGGGCTTGCGAAAATAGATCGGCTTGATGAAGCTTATATGCTCTTTGAGGAAGCAAAATCAAAGAGAATAGAGCTAAACGTGGTAATTTACAGTAGTCTTATTGACGGGTTTGGGAAAGTGGGCAGGATTGATGAAGCTTACCTTATCTTGGAAGAGCTTATGCAGAAAGGATTAACACCTAATGTTTATACATGGAACTCATTGCTTGATGCGTTGGTGAAAGCGGAGGAAATCAATGAAGCCCTCGTCTGTTTCCAGTCGATGAAAGAATTGAAATGCACGCCAAACCAAGTTACTTACGGTATCCTAATAAATGGTCTTTGTAAGGTCAGGAAATTCAACAAGGCCTTTGTCTTTTGGCAAGAGATGCAGAAACAGGGGATGAAACCCAGCACTATTTCCTACACTACCATGATTTCAGGACTTGCAAAGGCTGGGAATATTGCAGAGGCCGGTTCGCTGTTTGATCGGTTTAAGGCAAACGGTGGTGTTCCAGACTCTGCTTGTTATAATGCTATGATCGAAGGTCTAAGTAACGGAAACAGGGCAGTGGATGCTTTTTCCCTTTTTGAGGAAACACGTCGAAAAGGATTAAATATCCATACCAAAACCTGTGTTGTTCTTTTGGATACTTTGCATAAGAATGATTGCCTTGAGCAAGCAGCTATTGTTGGAGCTGTTTTGAGGGAAACGGGAAAAGCACGGCACGCTGCACGATCTTGGTAGCCAGTTAATCGATAGTCTTATTTCTTGTATTGGACAACCAAGAAGGTTCTGCATCATGTCTGATTGCAGTCAAGTGATCCGCAACAATCCCAAGTTTCTTGAGATGACAATGTTTTTGAGATCTGCAAATCCTCACTGGAAAAATCAAGTTTCTTGAGATGACAATGTTTTTGAGATCTGCAAATCCTCACTGGAAAAATGCTCAAATCCGTGGACTACTTCTGTTTTCCTTCTTAGTTTGATTTAGCTCTTGAGAACCGACAAAAACTTCATGGTAATTTCTCCATCCAAATACATCTTCTGCGTTTCTTGCTATGTTATATACTTGCACATTTCAGATGTAATTGCCACTTTCTGCAGGATTTGATTGGAGTCTATTGCTTGGTCTATAGTCAGCTCGGTATGAGCTCTTATGCATCTCAGAGCTAACTCAAGATGGAGCTCCGTATGCAGTCCAAGAAGCAGATAGTTAAAGAAGATTGTGACTGAGTGAATTTCATTCGGAAAAGGTCTCTTTTGCTTAGTCGCGGTACAATATAACAGAGCATCAGTTTGATCTTTCATGATCCTATGCTGAGGTAGTGAGGTTGAAACCTTGTCTTTTGAAACTAATGTATTACTTTTGATAATCTGCATCTTTTGCTGTCTTCTTGTACGTTTGTTTCCATCGTTTTCTTACAATTCTTGCTTGTGAGCAACTAAAATTTATTATTTTATCACCCCTATTAAGCTTTCAATAACACCACAGATTCGTTGAATATTAAAGACAACTTAATCGATTGATAGGTTTGGGTGTGAAAAAAAGACAAAGTTGCAGACACCCTTACATGGAAGCAATGAGAATGATAAGACCCTGTCGTGCTACCATTTTACACTGAACCATACCCAAACTCACAAGGAACCAAAAACATTTTTACCTTTTCAACGTTACAGACATGAATCCCAAGTTCAAATATGACTGAGATACAAAGATCTTAGTTTTTAGAGCTGGGCACTCGGGTTCTGTGGCAGTTGTTGCAGTAACTCTTCTTCTAATTCGTCGTTCTGTATCTGTGTGTCCTGCTCACAGTAAAACGCATATCAAACATTGGTAAACCTACAGAAAGAAATCAATCATACATATTCTAGTTGCTGAATCCAATTTCACCTGTGAATTTAGCTGCTGTTGTGGTTGTAATGGTGGTTCTTGTGCAACAGGGTATGAAGGCTGAGACATTCTATAATAAGGTTCCTTCAGATCAAATTTGCATGTCGATGATTGGAGGATTCCGCCTTGATTTGCACCGGGACCCCACATTTTGGCTGTTGAAAACAAAACCCAATGATTTTGTTACCATATCATGAAGGAAAAGTTGGAATAGATGAAGTGCTTTCATATGACAAAAAGGCAGGAAACCACAAATCGGACCTGATAGAGTGAGATCTATGGTGTAACTCTGAGCACTGTGGGCTATCAAATGAAGTCTACCAGTGATCTCTTGACCAGCCATCACATAAATTGGTTGAGAGAGAACACATCTGATTTGGTACCAATGCGTTGTAGGTGCACCAGGAGCAGTTGTGAACCATCTTTGTACCGTGCTGATGGAAACAGAACCAAAACCGTGTTTGCAAACTAAATCAATAATTGCAAAGAATAAAATTGTAAACGAAACGCTTAACCAAAGAAAAGCAGAAGTACCTCCCGTCAAAGAGAACGTCAAACCAGCAGGCAAGTCCATGCATTCGGGTGCACATGGAAGCAGTAAACTTCAGTGGGATATCAATCTCATAAAAATCTTCTTCCTGTGAAATGCAATTGAAAGTTATTCGCCCACACCAGAAAATATCAATTCCTTGGTATTTAAGTATTTAAGAGTACAAGGAACAGTCCTAAGTAGCATAATTATTACCTTCATTTTAGTAAAATCTATTGTATGAAACATCGGAGGAGCCACCAATAACCTCGGATCAAATGCATCAACCACGGGCTGTAAAATCCACAGATATGACATCAATATCCGTTATGATTATAACCAAATAAATTAATCATTTACAAATGACTATTTGCTGGTGTGGAAATAAATATACCTGAGAAAAGTAACCTTGGTGTGCTGATCCATATAGAGGTCTCAGGTCAACTCCGTAATAATTCTGTTGTTGCCAAAAAAAGGCCTGCATAGAGGAAATGTAAATATTGAATGCTTACAATTAAACTAAACCAAAAATTTCTGTATATGTTATAAAGAGCAATCTCCACCATATTCTCCTTAGAATAACCAGTGGTATTCCATACCTTATTTGCCATTTCAATAAATAAGAATTCATCCGAGAAAGGTGCCATGTGAATCCTACAGTGATATAACTATATGAGAATTAAGACATAATGAGAAATAAATAGGAAAGCCTCTCAAAGGTTGACTTTACCTTCCAACAGTGGGAAACATTTTGCCATTTGGAGACATGAAACGATCCCTCGCAATTACATACGATTCCAACATTCTCTCGTTAACCAATAGGGTGCCTGGTTTAAAATATCAGACATGTCATTCAAATCACTTTTTCCACATATTTTTTCTTGACCAAGGTTTGGCTTGCCTTGATTCAAACTTTAAATAAAGAGACACATTCTAAAGTCTGCCACTGAAATACCTACCCATCGGTTCAGAGATCAAAACATCTGCTTTCTCAGGCAACTCTATATCCTCGACTTTTCCCTTGATGACCTACACTTGTGCCAACTTCAACATCAGAAAAATGCATATAACACAACAAAATATACTAAAGAGATTGAATCAGAAGTCTCACTGTGATCCGTTCAGCGAACAATGGGTTTCCAGCAATCAGCTTACGTGCATATTCAGCCATTTCTGATGCTTCTACAGCATACACATGCTTGGCACCAGCCTAATTTAGGAAAAAGTATTAGACATGTATAACGGAGGCAGAAGCACAAATGCACAAATTAACACCTGGGAGCTTTGACAGCCACCATCACCAAGATATAACTAAAAAGTTTACTTTGCATTTCTGTATTTAGCTTTTACGGATCACCAAGTCTAGTGGACAGATTGGAGACGTAGATGAAATAGAAAGAAGAGAGTGAGGACCTATCAATTAACAAGTCCTCTCTATCCATTTTCTAGCTTTAAAATATCAAAATTCTACTGATTTATCAACCTATAGTTGCTCAAACATAACAAAATCTTAGTTCTCTAATCTTTAGGCCTAAATATTGCATACCTGAGCAGCAAACATAGATAAAATGCCACTCCCAGCACCCACATCGACCACAACACGACCAGCAAAATCTGAACGATTCTCCATGACTGCAGCATAATATGTACCTGAAGACATGAAAGAGGTTTATAAAGAACTATCTCGAGTCAAACAGTGGTGTGAAAAAAACATAGGATATTCTTCTGATGGATTTACATCCTATCAAAATCAAGAAAACTGGAACAGCTCTAAGGAAGCCAGTACACAGCAAGACCGGATATATTACCTGTCCTCACATAATCTTGTAGCATATTTTGCTGATGTAGAAGTTGTCCATAATAATGGAAATACATTTTGGCCGAGGACGCCTCTATTTTCTCGTCAAACTTACTTTTATTAGCTGAAGCTGTTCCATTTTGCAAGGACAATCCTAGAAACGAAAGAAGATAGTAAAGGAGTATGCACAAAAACCATGCATAGATTTCCAAATGCGCAATGATAGCGAAGAGTGGATTAGTGAATATACAACTGGCCCCAAAGAGAAATTCAGTTCTTTACAATCAAGAACACACTTAAATTCTCATATGACTATTCTATAATGAGTTTTAAAACCTTTCTCAAGTAAAATCCAGAAGAAAACGAACATAAGGCATCCATGTTACAAGTTCAAGTAAAATTAAAGGCGCACCTTGAACAACAGCATCCTTTCTCCACTCCTCAAATGAATCACAGAAATCCTTGCTATCCTTCTCATTTTTAAACTTTATATTGACTCCTCGAGAGAATGATTTCTGTTTCATAAAAACTCATTTTCATCAAAATAAAACCAAGTATCTTGTAACACATTATTTATAATGCAATCAAGGACTAATCAACAAGATTTTCATTTCCAAGAATAACTATAGAAATTGATTTCATAAGAACCCAGAAGACAAAGTAAATCACTGAACGTACCTCCTCTGAGGAATCTGAGTTATCAGATACACAGATGAACTGGACAGGCCCCAATTTGAATAACTGAGAAACATAAACAAAGATACAAAACGATCAAATCAATGCATCTATTCTCACTTTCTCAGACGCAACAAGACCCAATAACATAAGAAGAACGAGCTTTGCCAAAATTTCAATCTTTCTCAAATGTAAATTTCAGTATGGGAACCATCTTAAATCTCAAACGAAAACCCAGTTGCAGAATAGTTCAATCAGATTGTGAAGCAGAAAATCTAAACCAAAGTAATTAGATATAACAAAGTTTTGTTTCTTCCAAAATTCATCTTCATTAAGCAACGAAACGTTTTTAAAGGAGATATCATAACAGTAGCAAGTGAATCGACATCCACCTGAGCTGAAGCGAGATCAAAGGTGAAGCAATGGGTCGAATCCGATTGCAGAAATCGGAGCTCCGTAACTCCATCGACGCAGGAAAACGTAGCTACAGCAGGAGAAGACGACGAAACGGAAGGGGAAGAGAGATCAGTGACAGAATCTAGAGAGAACTCTAGCTGCTCAAGTTTCTTCAAAGGAGAGACCTCCATTATCGAACAAACACGAAGCTGCGATGCGAGTGTACAGAAAACAGTCTCTGTATGTGTAAAGGAAACTAAGGAATTTTTAGGGTTTTTCCTGCTGTGACTGTGTTGTGAGCTTCCGAGCTCTAAAGTGG